CCCAAGCCTGCCTTCTCGGAGATATCGATCCAGACGCCGGGGTAAACGTGCCGGCCGGCTGGTAAAACTCAAAGCTCTGTGTGGTCAACGTTTCCACAGCCAGCTTCCTACGTGCCCGGACCAGGGAAAATATGGGTGTTGTCTACCGGCCCGGCGCTTGGACCGTCCTGGAGGCGCTGTTTTTGAAAATCTGCAACCGTTGGCGCGCACCACCCCCACCATGGCTGGTTCTGTGTCGGACCATATCAGGACGTGCCTCAATAACACAAGGTCTGTTGCCAACAAGACTTTTATCCTAAATGACTTTTTTAAAGACGAGGGACTAGATTTTCTTTTTCTCACTGAATCCTGGTTGCCTTTGGGTGATTCAAGCGCCTTGGTGGAACTTTTACCTCCTGACTGTCTGTGTTTTAATGCCCCGCGGTCATCAGGTCGGCAGGGTGGTGGAATATTAACTGTATTTAAATCAAACTTTTCCTGTAAACACTTGTCCACCCTCATGTCCTGCTCCAGTTTTGAGCTGAGTGCTTTTGAACTCGGACATTCTCCTCCCGTTCTGTGTGCGATTGTTTATCGTCCCCCTCGTTCCAAGGACTTCATAAGTGAATTCTCTGATTTTCTGGCTTACATCACACCAAGATATGATCACTTTATTATCGTTGGTGACTTTAATATTCACGTCTGTTGTCAGGAGAAGCCGTTAGTGAAGGACTTCCTTGATTTGTTGGGACTCATTTAATTTAACTCAACATGTAAATGGTCCCACCCAACAACACGGTCACACTCTGGATCTCATTTTAACACGTGATGTCTCTGTTTGTAATTTGGTAATCGGTGACAACGTTCTCTCAGACCACATGCCTGTCTTGTTTGATATCATCCCGCCTTGTCCTACTGCTAAGTCATGTGATTCTGCACGTACTTCACGCGCCATTAACCGTTTCACTGCTGCACGTTTTACTGAAGCTTTTAGCTCTGAGAGGATCGATCAGCTCTCAGTGTCTCTCTCCACCGAGGAGCTAACCTCTCAGCTTAACTCCGTTTGTTTAAATATTCTGGACCGTGTTGCTCCCGTTAAAACCAGGAAAACAAAACTTTTATCAGAACCATGGCTTAATGACGTCACTCAAGCCGTTAGACAGCAGTGTAGGAGAGCTGAACGCAGGTGGAGGAAAGACAGGCTGCAGGTTTCTTTTCAAATCCTAAAGGAGAGTTGGCGTCATTATCAGAAGGCAGTTAAAGCCGCCAAATCGAAGTTCTTTTCTGCAATAATTGCCTCAAACTCCCACAACCCCCGAGCCCTTTTTTCCACCCTGAACTCAGTTCTACACCTCAATGAACCTTCACCTCTAGAAGCCTCAACTGAGCTGTGTGAAAACTTCCTCCATTTCTTTTCTGAAAAAGTTGCAAACACCCGGGCACTCATTTCTCCACCTGCTCATGATCCGTCCATCCCATCTCATTGTGTTGCTGTTCTGGACCACTTCGAGCCCATCTCTCTGTCTTCCCTGGAGCAGGTCATGTGCGGCATGAAGCCATCTGGCTCCCCTTTTGACGTTGTCCCCCCTCGACTCCTTAAGGAGCTTCTTCCTGTTCTGGGCCCTCCTGTTCTTGGCATTGTGAACAGCAGCTTAGCCTCAGGTGTGGTATCAATAACTTTTAAACATGCTGCTGTCCAACCTCTCCTGAAAAAACCTAGCCTTGACCCCGTAGTCATGTCCAACTTCCGGCCTGTCTCCAGACTCCCATTTGTCGCTAAACTGCTGGAAAAAATAGTGGAGTCCCAGCTGAAATGCTTTCTAGAGGATAATGCCATCTTAGAGCTATTCCAGTCTGGCTTTAAACCTCTCCACAGCACTGAAACTGCTCTACTCAAGGTTTTTAACGACATTCTCCTATTCACAGACGCTGGTGATTCTGTGCTTCTTCTCTTACTGGACCTCACATCTGCCTTTGATACAATCGACCACGAGATCCTCATTGCGAGTTAAGAGCAGTGGGTGGGCATCACTGGGTCAGCCCTCGAATGGTTTAGATCTTACCTCGCTGACAGGTCCTTTTGTGTCTCCTTCAAAGATTTTAGTTCAGCCTCGGCAGCGCTTAAATGGGGGGTACCGCAAGGGTCCATCCTTGGTCCTCTTTTATTTTCTTTATACCTGCTGCCACTAGGTGCTATTTTCAGGAAACATAACATACCTTTTCATTTCTACGCCGATGACTGCCAAATCTACTTCCCCCTCAGACTCAACGGTACTCGCTCTATTCAACCGTTACTGGACTGCCTGGCTGACATCAGAGATTGGATGGCTTTAAATTTCTTGAGTTTCAACGAGAAGAAATCTGAAGTTATGCTGTTTCCTCCCAATGACACAATCACCAACCACTGCATCGACCTATCCGTTCTGTCACCGTTAGTGAAACAAAGAGTCACTAATC